TATAAAAATAATTAAACTTGTAATTTTCTAAAATTTAAAAATATTATTTTTATAAATATAATTTAATTTTTATCGAGTTTTTATTTTTACTTTTTTAAAAGATATTAATAGATTAACTTGTTATTATATTTCAAAATAATTAATTATTATCTTTTATTAAAAATATGTATGATCGTACTATAATCAATTAAAAATAAATATATTTTAAACCAAATATTTATTAATTTATTATCTATTATTCAAAAAAATAATAAAAATATTATTAAAATAAAATTAAAAATATAAACTATATGTGGACTCAATCAAAAATAATATTTTCTAAAAACCTGCTAATAAATATTAAATAAAAATAATATATAAAAGATTTAATATCTCCTTTAGTAGCAGCTATATTTGCGATTACTGCATGTAGTTTTATAAAATTATTTAATAAAAAAAAATATATAAAAAATAAGAAAAATTAAATAAATTAAATATTGGAGGCTTACCTATTTTATCATAATTAATGGTTCCTTTATCAATATAAAGTATATTAAAATCTTTCGTATATTCTTTTGTAAATGAGAAATATGAAAAATATAAAGAATATTAAAAAGTAAAAAATTTAAAAGAATAAATATATATATATATATATATATATATATATATATATTTATTATATATATATATTTTATTTATTATTTAAACATTAAAGATTATGGGTATTAGGTCATCTGCATATAATTTAGGGTGGTTTTTATACAATTATTTTATTTTATTTATAGTAATAAAATTAATATGTATATGAAATATTCTAAATTTTTTAAAAATAATATAGTGCGGTTATATATACATTGGATTACTTCTATTTTTTGCTTTTTTCTAAAATATCGAATAATTTTTTAAAATTTTTTAATGTATTAATTATATATGTGTGCTGTTATGAACTAAGCATATATGCTAACCACATTTTTTTCGAAACCAAAGCTAGCATCATAAGTTACAAGTTTAATTTAAATTATAGGTTCTATAGCTCAAAAATCATGCTTTGATAATTAAATAAGATAAAATAAATTTGTATTATGTTTAATTTCTTTCATTTTTCCTTAATCATGCATTTCGCTTATTTTTATTTCTGATAAATAAATTAATAAAAATTTCGTATTTAAAAATATTAATCTCAATTTCGATTATATAGATGGAGTTTTAATTTCTGTTTTTAGTGCTATTTTTTATATTCTACTATATGTCTATTTTGATTAAGTATCTTTTGTATTAAAACAAATTATGATATATTAATATATAGGTAGTAAAAAATGAATATGGAACATAAAAAGAACCATTATTTTTCATAAATTGGATTTGGAAAAAAAACATTAAGATATATAAAATACCTGTGAATAATAATTAAGTAAATAAGATTTTGCTGAAGAAGATGAAGAAATCTAATAAAGAATAATTTCAAGTTAAGATATTAATACTGCAATTTATAAGGAAAATTTTAAGAATATAAATAATTTAAATACTATTATTAAAATAAGAAAATTAAATAAAAAATTTGGGGAAATTACAGCTATAAATAATTTGTCTCTGACACTATTTGAAAAATAAATATTTTGGTAATAAAAATATGATAAATAAAATTAAAAAATAATATATAATAAAATTAATATATATAAATATATATATATATTTATATATATATATATATATTTAGTTTATTTTTTTATTTAAGTTTACTTGGCCATAATGGAGCTGGAAAAAGTACTATAATATCTATATTAACGGGTCTTATATCTAAAAACAATGGTAAAATAATAATATGTGATATGTATTTAGATAAAGATATAGATAAAATAAGACAAAGCTTCGGAGTTTGCTTATAAAAAGATGTTCTTTATGATTAATTAACAGTAGAAGAACATCTTTAATTTATTGGACAAATAAAAGGTTGCAGTTTATAATAAATATAATAAGAAACAGAAGAATTAATTATGAAATGTTAACTTAATAATGAGAGAGGAAAATAGTCTTCTATATTAAGTGGAGGAAATAAAAGAAAATTATCTTTAGCAATGTCTTTAGTTAAAAAAAAAATAACTTTATAAAAAATTAATTTATTTTTTATATAATATATAGATAGGTGGATCTAAAATAATATTTTTAGACGAACCATCAAGTGGATTAGATTATAATGCAAGATAAGAAATATGTCATATTCTTTTATAAATGAAAAGCCTATAAAAAACAATAGTTTTAACAACACATCATCTAGAAGAAGCTGAAGAAGTCGCAGATAGAATAGGAATTATGTTCAAAGGTTAATTGTTGGCTTTAGGTACAAATGATTTTATAAAAAACAAATTTGGTACAGGATATTATCTAACAGTAATGGAAAAAAATGAAAATAAAAAATTAACTGTTTAATAATGTGATAATATTAAATAAATAGTAACAAATAATGTAAAAACAGCTATTTTTAATTCTCAATCATAAAATGGAACAGTATAATTTACTTTACCTTTTGAAGAATAAGACGTTTATACAGTATTATTTAAATTGATTGAATAAAATTAAAATTATTAAGTAAAAAGAATATTTATGTATATATATGTAGAAATATATATATATATATATATATATATATATATATATATATTTTATTTATACATTTTAAATATTAAATTAATAGTTAATATTAAAAATGAATACATTAGAAGATGCTTTTATAAACATTGAAAGTGAAGATAAAAAAAAAAATTTAAAAAATAATTAGAATGTAAATTTATTGTATATTTTATATAATTATATATAATTTTATATTATATATTTATTTAATTTATTTGCTCATATTTTCTATTTTCTATTTTCTTTTTTTATAAAAAAAAAAACTAAATTTTCATAATTTACCTTTTAATATAAATTACAAAATGTTTATATAATTTTTATATTTAATATAATTTTATTATATATTAGAACTAAAATAAATAAGAAAAATTTACTGATTTTTCTTATATTCTAACACCTGAATGTTTATACAAACCACCTTTATTTGATTTTATTAATTAAACATATGCCTGCTTTTTGCGTAAATTTTATATTACTATGCGTACTTTAGCTCTTTTTTCATCGTTTTTATTTCCTTTAGTGTTACAGATTATCGGAATATTGATATGTACTAAGGCTATTACATAAAATAAACATGATAATAAATAATAAATTCATGAAAAAAGTATATTACGTTTAATATTAAATGGAGTCTGTCAAATATTAGCATTTGCATTTAATACTAGTAGTTATTCTGGTTTACCTGTAATGGAAAGGGAATTAAAATTAAAATATGTTCTAAGTGTAATGGGCTGTAGGAGTTATACATATTGGCTCAGAACTTTAATATTTGATATTATTTTTGCAACTTTTGGAATAGTTTTATTTATAATATTTTGTTTTGTCTTATAATTCGAAGAAATTATAAATAATATAGGATAAACTTTTGGATTACTTTATTTCTTTATATTTACATTAATAACTTATTCATATTTAATTTCTTTTGTATTTAAAAAAGAAGAAACATGTTATAAAGTAAATATATATATTATTAAATTAATTTAAATATAAACATAAATATAAATATATATATATATTTATATATATTTATATATTTATATTTATATATATTACTTATTTATTTAAATTCTTATATTATATATATATATTAATAGTTAGTACCAATCATTAACTTATTTTTTTGTATTTGTTATTCCTCTTATTCTGTATTGTTTATTACATAATAAAATTTAAATCATATCTGTAATTTAAATAAAAAAATATATATATAATTTTAATAAAGAATATAATGGTAATAATTTCCCCTTTTTTATGCTTATTTAAAAGTTTTTTATGATTTGCATTATAAACAGCTATTAATGAAATTTCAGAAGATTATATTTGGCCTTCATAAATAAATTATACTTATTTAATTTTTACAGCTCAATTTATAGTTTTTTCTATTTTTACAATTTATTTAGATTATAAATACTTTAAATTAATTCCAGATTAATAAATTAATAATAATAATTTATAAATAAATAATAATATACCAGAAGAAGTAATAAAGGAATAAATAAGAGTTTCTAATAAAAATTGTTTAGATAAAATAAAAGTTTAGAACTTATATAAAGTAAAATAAAATATTATATATGTAAATAATTATATATATATTTATTAAAATTATAAATTTTAATATATATATATATTTATATATATATATTTATATTTATATTTATATCTATATATATATAAAAATAAAGATATATAATATTAATAGTAAACCTTTTACTGCTATTTAAAATAATTCATTTGGTGTATAAAATGGTGAGATTTTAGGTTTATTAGGTCCAAATGGAGCTGGAAAGTCTACTACTTTTAATATATTGACTTCTTTTATTAACAAAAGTTAAGGCAGTGTAAAACTTAAAAGTATAGAAGTTTAAAATGGAATAATGGATATTTATTAAGATGTTGGTATATGTCCTTAATTTGATGCTATATATGAAAACCTAACAGTATTAGAACATTTAAAATTATTTGGTAGAATGAAAGGACTTAAAGGAAAAGATTTAGATGCAAGTATAAATTATTTCTTGAAAGTTATTTAATTAGAAGACTATACTCATAGATAAGCATGTAAACTCAGTGGAGGAAATAAAAGAAAATTATGTGTAGCTATAGCTTTAATAGGAGGTCCTGATATGTAGTTTTTCGATGAACCATCTACTGGTGTAGATCCTATATCAAAAAGGTATAATAAATATGAAAATGCAAATTGTATATATATATATATATATATATATATATTTTAGATTTTTATGGAATACATTAAGTTAAAGCTTAAAATTAAGAAATGGAGCTATTGTTATAACTACACATAGTATGTAAGAAGCCGAGTTTTTATGTACTAAAATCGGAATTTTAATAAATGGGAAATTTATGTGTTATGGATCACCTTAGTTTCTTAAAAATAAATACGGAAAAGGTTATTAGGTTAGTTTTGAATGTAGCAATATTAATTAAATATAATAAATTATTTTATAATAATATCCTAATGCTAAATTATAAACTACTAATAATTAAAATGATTAAAATAATTACAAAACTACATTTCTTTTTCCCTATTAAGGTTTTTGTTTATCGGAAATTTTTAATTTCTTTTATAATGATATGTAGCAGAATAGAAAGTTAATTAGTAATTTTTAAGTTGATTAATGTTCTTTGGCTTAAATTTTTGTTGATTTTTCATAACTCTAAAAAGTTAATAATTTTGCTTAATAATGAAAAAAAATTTTGACTATATATTAAATTTTTATATTTTTTAATACAAAATTTTAATATATTAATTTTTTATTATTTGAATTAATTATGATATTGATAAATAAAAAAAACACTAATTTATTTTATTTTTATAATAAAATCAGTTAAAATAAAATAAAAATCAATTTAAGTAATATTTATATTGTAAAAAAAAAAAAAAAATATGAACTAAGTAGAGGATAATAAACAAATAATTGAAGAATTAATTTAACATGTAATATATATATATTAAATACTAAATTAATTTAAAAGAAAACAAATTAATTTAATTAAGATTAAAGAATAAGGAAATATAATATTCAATCAATAAATCAGATATTAATTTAAAGAATAAATTCATTTAATAGAAAATTAAAATTAATAAACATACACAAAATTAAAATAAATAATAGAAATATTTACTTAGAATATTGAATAAAATATGCTGTAAATATAACAATTTTTATAATATTTTTTTTATAATAAAAAAAGACAAATGAATATGAACTATTAAAATCTTGAAAAAATGTTATAAAAACACGAAGGAGAAACAAGAAATCATATCAGAGTTTTTTTAAAAAAAATAAAATAAAAATATATTAAAATATAAAATAAAAGATTGAATAATAACTAAAATTATTTATTGAATCTCTTGAATAAAAAATAGAAGAAACTGAATAAGAATAAAACGATTTATTAAAAAATACAAAATAAATTATATTAGATATACGAAAGATAATTAAAAATTTAACGAGTAAAATTAAAAACTATAAAAAGAATTACAAAAGGCAAATTAAGAAATTAATAATTTATCAATGAAAGATAAAGAGAATTTATCTTATTTTAGTGAAAATAAAAGATTATAAAAAAGAATATAATTATTATAAAAAATTCTAAAGGTTTATATTTTTTTTTTTATAAAAAACTTAAAATTAAATATACATATAAAGGATTCGAATTTAAATGATTTATAAAATAGTTAAATTATAAATAGAAATTATGACATTAAAATAAATTAAAATAATAACGATAAAGATAACTTTACTATATTTAATACAAAGTAAAATAAAATTTTATAATTAAATCAAAAAAATAATTTTATTTTTTATTTTCATAAGTCAATAGAAAAAAAAAATTGTAAATACAGTAAATCCATCTCCTTTAAAAGCAGGAAATAACTAAAACGATAATACTATTTACAATATAAATAAAATTCATAATAAAAGTACAAATGATGAAGTATATGAATAATATAATTTAAAAGATAATATAAATAAAAGTAATATTCTAAAATTTAATTCTAACAATAAAAAAATAGAGCATATAAAAATTAGTTAATAAAATGCAAAAAATTATAAAAATAATAATTATAAAAATAATAATTATAATAATTATTAAAAAAATAAAATTTAAAACATAAATAATAAAGAGTATTAAAATCTTAATTTTAATTTAAGATCTAGATCTAAGTTATTTAAATAAAAAATAATATATATATATATATATATATATATATATATATATATATATATTATAAAAAAAAGAAACGAAGTAAAAAAAAACCTTTATAGTTTCTATCCTTCAACTTATAGCTCAAATAATAATTCATATAGTAATGTTTTAGGAATAGGAAATACAAAGTTTTAAAATAATAATAATATTATTAAAAATAATATTTAGATAAATAATAATAATATTACAGCAATTAATAATAATACTTAATTAATACATTATAATAATATTACATTTAATAATAATAAATATAAAAATCAATGTTAATTAAAAAACAAAATAAATATTCCTAATAAACAAAATAATAATTACAATGATTGTTCTAAGTTGTCTTTAGTAAATAAAGAATAATTAAATTTTATTAATTAAGATTTTTATAATAAATAGAACAGTAATGGAAAAATAAATAGTAGTTTTATAAATAATTGCGGGAATTCATTAATAATAACAAATTTATAAAAATGATATTAAATTACTAAAATATTATATTTCTTATTTATTTATTTTTTAAAAAAAATTGTTTTTAATAAAACATTTTTTTGTTTTGTTTATAAAATTAAAATAATTAATAGTTAATATAAATAATAAAAAATTAATAAAAAATAATAAAATTTAAGTTTTTTATAAAAATAATTATTATGCATAAATATCATTAATAAGTTCCAATAACTTATCTTTTTGATAAAAGAGTTCCCGCTTAAGATTATTTAAAATATATTCGTTTACAAGACATATAGTAAAATAAAGAAGATTAAGATATCTAAAATTAATTTTATAATCATTATTGTTAAGTATATTAATATGATTTTTTGTTTTTCAATAAAATATTCAAATTATTAAAGGAAAGAATTTAAGCTTTACCCAAAATAAAATTATCTGAAAATCAATTCAATAACTTATTAACAATATTAAACGAAAAAGAAAAAAAATAATTTAAAAAACATAATACAATAAAAAGTAGTTAAAAATTTACAAAATAAATTAATAATTAAAAAAAAAAAAGATAAAATAATTAAAATAATGATCAAATATATTAATTAAATAAAAATTAAAATGCAACTATGCCATTTCTTAATAATAAAAACAAAGAAATATAAAATAATGAAGATTTGAAATTTAAAGATGATGACAATATTTATTAAATAGCAAAAAAAATATAACTTAAAATTAAAAATTATCGAAGCAATATTAAAAAACAAACTTTGCTATAAAACTTTTCTCATTCTCCCTACAATAAAAATAATTAAAATAAGAAAAAAATAATCAGGTTTAAATAATTTTATATCAGTAGTTTTTTGCACTTAAAATTAAACCATTTTTTATAATATATAATTTATTTTCATAATAATATATTTTTTTAAATAAAGAAAAACAAGTTTAATCTAAGAAAATGTATTTGATTAAAATGACTTTAAAATATTAATAAAAGAAAATGATGAACTAACTTTTGTTGATTAAGATAAAAAATAATAAAATTTTTAATAGAAAATAACAAAAAATGCATTTATATAAAGAAGTAAAGATAATTATAAATTAGATAAAAAAAAGCAATCAGCAATTTTACCAAATTATAAACTTAAAGAAAATAATATAAATTATAATTAAAACCCATAAATTAATAAAACAAATGATATAAATTAAAAGTTTTTTAATAATTCTACAATATAATAAAGTGTTAACATTAATTTAAAAAAAATAAAAGAAAGTGTAAAAATAGAATTGGAAAATATAAAAAAATAATTAAATGAAAAAGTTAAAAGTAATTTTTTTTATAAATTAAAAATATTTTTTTTATTTATTAATATTTTTAAAAGATTGGAATAGAAATGGAATATTTTCAGAAAAAGTAAATTAAGAAAGAGCGAATTCTCTTTATTATGCTAAAGGAAATAAAATTTTTATGAAATTAGAATAAAAATATGGAAATGCATTAGACATTGAATACTAAAGAAATAAATAAATTTTTAAGTAAAAAATATTGTATATTAATAATAGTATATAAGATACAAATATATAAATAAATATATATTGAACTAAATGCATATTTTTTTATTTTTATATCTATTTTTATATTTAGACAAAACGAAAATTTATTAAATCACTTTTAAAATATAATTTAAAAATCAAATAAAGGGAATGATTTCTTAGTTAATAAAAATATAGATATTCATAAAAAAAGGATTGTTTAAATGTAAAAACCTATATTTTAACCTTAAAATCATTTAGTAAAAGACTTCAATATGTTATATTGATTAATAAAAACTTTAAAATGTTATTTTTTAATTTATATATTTATAGTAAATTTTTATAATAAATTAAAAATTTTTAAATATCTATAAAAAAAAATCTTTTTATTATATATAATTATAAAATTTCTTATAATTTAAAATAAATGGAATTATTTTTATATTATTATTTATAATAAAATTTAAAATTAAAATATATTCAACAAAAGTTAATTTAATTAATTTTTTTATTAAAATTATTAGTATTATTATTATTTTAACCCAAAAAATAAATTTTCCCTTCAGAATTTCCACAAAAAATAATTTTTTATTTTCTACACTAATACCAACATGTAAAAAAGGGAAAATATTATGGTTTTTATATCATTTTTATTTCTTTTAAAAAAGGTAATTCTAATATTTTAAAGCATTAATTCTCATAATCTGAATAAATCTGAAATAAATAAATAAAAATTAAAAATAAAATAAAATAAAATAAAAAAATACTAGAAATTCCATAAAATTATCGTTTTTAATAATATTCATATCATATATATTAGGTGTATCTTCTTAATATTTTGAAAGCAATTATCCATTAATGCTATATGAGTAAAATACACAATCCTAAGATGAAAAAAACAATATAGAACATACAGGGCTTGCTACAAGTAAAAAAGAATTAATTGAAAGCATTTTAGGATGAGATATATTTCTCAAAAATTTATAGTTAAAATAATTATATATATTTATGGTTCCATCTAAACTACTTGAAGCTAAAATTTTTAAGTATTTTGATACTTATAGACATGTAATTTCTTCAAAATGTTAATAAAATCTTGTAATTTCTTAAATTTATACTTCTTATAGCGGATTAAATTAGAAAATTGCCAATTCTCCCTATTTATTTCCCATAAAAATAATCTAATCATCTTCGTTTATTTAAAAAGCTGTAATAGTGGAATTATTATTTGGAATATTAATAAAGTTATTTTAAATAATTTACTTTGAATCATTTTTTTTTGAAAAAGAATAAAACTATACCTATCCATCAATATATCCCCCTATTAAAAAGTAAATTTTCTCTTAAAAAGAATAAGTTAGAAAAGGTAAATTTTTAAATTTGCAAGAAAAATCAAATGAAGAAAATGAAAAAAAATTTAATTATTTATTCCAAACATTTTTAAGGGAAAATCCATTTTTCTAAATTTTAAAAAGTTAAAAAATTCCCTTTTTACTAAATGTAAAAATTCTATTTTTTTCAGAAATTATTTAAATAATTAAAATTGATTCAAATTTAAATTTTTAACAAAAAATAAAAATTTCTTCTTCAAAAAAACCTTCTTTTTTAAAAAAATTCTAGTTTTCTTCATTTAAAAAATTCTATTTTTCTAAAAAAAATTAAAAATAACAAAAAAAATCCTAATAAACCTCACAGTTTTTAACAGGAAATTATTAATTTAAAATCTAAGAAGGAGTTTACCCAAAATGCATAACTTAGCTTTCAATACTAATTTTCTCATCTTCATTTTTTATCTAATCAATATTAATAGAATCTTCATAAGTTAAATAAAAAAATTTATTTAAAAAAATTTCCGCTTCTTTTCCTTTTTATTTAATCCCGAAAATAAGATTTATCCATTAATTAATATTTTCACATACAAACTCACTTTCTAATCCTTTTCTATGAATAAACACAAATAAAAAAGGATTCTATAAACTCCATTATGGTAAAATTACATTATGTACCCTTTCACCTGTTTATTAAATTCCAAAGTCATGCTTTTACATATTCAAAAAAAATTCTGGTAAATAAAAAAATTCAGGAATTAATTCGCGTACATCACTCATTTCTTCTGTCGCATTTTTGTATGTTTCACTAATTGAAAAAAAAAGCCTGTCAGCAATATCAAATTTCCCGTTTTATAAAAGAAGTGCACCCTGTCCAAAAGGCTAAATTCTTATCAAAAATTAAAAAACAATAGCCGGTGAACTATAATGAGAACCGAAAAAATAAGAAGGAATATTTTAATTAAAAGGGTCACTTAGTTCATATTTTTCTTTGAATTTTTCAATTCTTTTTTAAGAGCCTAAGGCTCCCATTGTTTTTTGTAAATTTCTATACGAATTTTTATTTTAAATTTCGATATTTTCTTATGTACAAATAATATCCAAGGAAAAAATCCAAGGAAAAACGAAATATTAAGTCACATCATTATGACTTCTACCTGAAAAAATATTCAAATACATCAAAAAGTCCATATTAGATATTTTATTATTTAAATATTTTTATATATATTTTGTTTTTTTTTTTAATAGTTTTTGTTCTTTAAATTCAACTTTTCAATAAATATGTCAATTTATTTTTTTTCATAAAAATTAAATAAAATTTAAGAACCATCTTTAAAATATAGCTCTATTGCAGTTTTTCGTAAAACAAATCTTTTCTTTAAATAATAATTTATTTTATTTATTTCCCATATTTTCATCAAACATCTACAATAAGGAATACTATAAGAAGTCAAACATAAATGAGATTTTTTTTACTATAAATAATCATTATAGAAACTATATTTTTTTAAAAATAGAAAATACAAAAATTATAATATATTTTTTATTTAATCTACATTATATTTTTATCATCAACTTTGATAGTTCCTTATTTAATTGTTAATGTTTTTATCCATTGAACATTAAAAAGTGAATAAACTTATATTTAATTTTATTTAATTTTATCTATTTATATTAACTAATATTAATTATATTATACAAGCTTATATTTTATGTTTTCTTATAAATCATATTCTAGTAAATTTAATTTTCTTCCATTTTATTCATTATTTTTTTTATTTTAAAATTACTTAAAATGTGGAGGATCTATAAGTTTTATATTTAAAATAGGTTTTGTATTATTCTTTATTGAATATTTTGAAATTTAATAATAAAAAATCTCATTTTTATTCATTTCTTCAAATTCAAAGTCCTATAAATGTATTTTTTACTTAAAAATAAAATAAAATAATACTTTAGGTTTAAATAATTTATCATTTTAAGAATTAAAAGGACTAAATTTCCAAAACCCTTAGTAAATTCGAACTTTTTTCCAAATTTAAGTCCAATTATATAAACCAATTTTTCCAAAATTAAGTTCATAATCTGCTGAAAAAGCTTAATTTTTATAATTATTTTCATAATTTTAATTAATAATTTCATATTTTTCATTTTCGAATTTTTCTCTGATTTCATTTACTTTTTAATTCTTTTTCTATATTCCGAAAAAAATTTCATTTTTTAAAATTTAAAAATTTTCTCGAAAATAAGAAAAGTTTTTGCCTTAAAAATATTAATTTAAATCAAAATTATCCACAAACCCATATTCGAATTCATCACTAAATATTAATTTTTCAAAAATAGAATTATTTATAAAATATTCCTAAAATATTATTTATTTTTTTTAATTCTTTTTTAAAAATAAAATACTTTAAACAACTCATTCTATATAATAGGTATATTTTTATAATCATATACATTATAAAATATATATTAAGATATTTAATTAAATTATATTTAATCAATAAGGGTTATTATTATATAAATTAATGAATCTTTAAAGCATTTTAATTAATATTATTTGTATGTATTATATAAAAAGCTTATTGATAATATTAAATATTCACTTATTTGTACTATTTCTTGATTGTTTTTAGAATATTAAGATATACTAATAATAATTTATAGAATAATATTTAAAGAATTAAACGGTTTTTCTATAGAAATATTATTCATTAATGAAAATTCTATAAAAATACACAAAAAAAGAAAAGATATTTCTGCAAAGCAAAAATTTTATTAATCTATATATATTTTAATTTAATTTAATTTTATTTTAAAAAAAAAATACTTTTAGAAAAAAAATATGATAAATATTTATTAAAATCTAAACTTAAAATATTAATTTTTTCAAAACATTCCTATATAATATTATTTATTTAGTTAAATATCTTAAAATCAATCCATTTAATATTATCATCAAATAAATTAAAAAATTAATATTTTTTGAAATCTTCGCATTATATTAAATAAATATCTAAACAAGAAAAAAAATCAAAAGAAACTAATTTTTAATTAGTATTTTTTACAAAAATAAATTCGAATGCAAATTCGGTATATTTTTATAACATTATTTCGTTATTTTCTTAATTTTTCTTTATATTTTATAATATATAATTACAAAAGATAAATCTCTCAAGTAATTTCTTTGATATATCAATCTATATATACATATTATAAAAAGATAAATATATATAAATAATATATTATAAATTACTAATTAAATAGAAAAATTTATATAATTTTAAGTTTAATAAATAATAATAGCAAATATATATTTGAATTTTATTATATTTAAAGGTTCAATACAACTTATTAATACTTTCAATATTTTACTAGTATTATTCCATATATTTATATCTATATTTTATTCAAATTAACTATTTCTATAAAGAATTTCTTTGAATAAAATTTTAATAATGAAATTAAAAAAGAAATCGCTTTCAATTAAAATTTATGTGTTAGTTTAATTCTAAATTATAAAATAAATATAAATCAAAACTTAATTTTATAAAGAATTTTCTAAAAAATCAAATAAATCAATAATTATTTAAAAAGAATTTAAATTTATAAAAATATCGTTTTCTTCTAAAATAATAAATTCTTTTTTTTTCAAAGTTATATTTTTACCAAACGACCATTCAAACAAGGAAGAAATTAATTAATTAGAATTTATTTTTTAAAATTATTAAACTATTTATATATTATTACAAGAGTTTTTTTTTTAGATTTTTTATTCAATTTATTGTTATTATTATGTATTTTCTAATGTAAAATAATTCTCATTTATTTGAATTTTTTCATTTTAATTTTATTCTTTTTAAAAATATTCTGATTTTAAACAAAAAGAAATATAAGAAGTTAAATCAAAATCCACTTTTTTTTAATATATATGAGAAATAATCTTTACTATATAAATCTTTGTATTTATTGAATGATTTTTTAATAATAATGTAACTAATTAGTTTATTCCATTCAACTAAAATAATATTTATATAAAAAGTAAGTCACTTTATATTATATGAAAAGTAAGTTTTAGTAATTATTTATAGAAGTTTTCAGTATAATAAGATGTAAAGCAATTAATTATATATTTGAAATTTTACGGATGAGTGTTTTTTTAAAAAACTATAATTTACTTTAAAAAATTCATATTTATTTTTATTTTTATATTTTCATTGTTTAATTTTCTTGGCTTTTTTTTTTTTTTTTAATTATTATATTAAGTTTAAAAAAAAAAAAAATTACTATTTTTTCTAAAATATATTTAATTCCAAAATGCTTTTAAGAAAACTTTAAATTCTAAATATAAACATTAAATAAAAAGTCAAAAAAACATTAAAGAAAATCTAAATTATTTGAAGAATAAACATCTAAATTAAACAAAAAATACATCAAAAATTATTTCTTAATTTTTTTTAATTTAATTTCATTTAAAATATTTTCCATTTTTTCAACACTTTTTTCATTCAAAAATTAAACAGAATCATCCTAATTTATTAATTCACAAATAATATGAAAAAATCCAATTTAATTAATTAAATTTTCAACTTAAAATTATTCATTACTTAAAATAATTTAAACTAAATTTAATAACTCATTTAAAACTTCTTTTTAATCATTTTATTAATGACTAAAAACATAAAAAAATGGTAAAATATTTTCTAAACCACAAATTTTTTCAAAATTAATATCTTTCTAAATAATAAAAGCTGCTGTATTTTTCCCCAATAGAGCTTTTTTTCCTTAATAAGTATCAAAAATATTTTTATTAAAACATATATGAGGTGAAAAATAGAAAATAATATTTTATTTAGAACTTTAAAGAATATTTTTTTCAATCTTATCATAAATAATTTCATTATTCTATTATTTTTATAAATTTAATTATTTGAAAATCTAATAAAAACTAAAAAAATACATATAAATAAATATATATACTAAAAAAAAAAAAAAACTTATTATTTCCAAAAAATACAAGTATAGATTTAATTTTTCCAAAAAAGTTTTTAAACAAAACAAATTTCTCGAATTTTAATTAATCGGATATAAAAGGAAATTATACCTATAAATTTTCAACATATTTTTAATTTATTTATATACAAATCTAAGTTTTTTACTATAAAAAATTCTTCACATTTTTAAATGTAATTGAAAAAAAATTCCAATTTTTAGAAAAAATTTCACATATTTAAATATTTAATTTATTATATTAATAAAATAAAATATTATCTTCAATATATATTTCTATTTCTTTTTAATCACAAGAAAAATGCAATAAAGACATTTTATTTTATTCAATTAATTATTCGTAATTAAAACATGTTAAAAATGTTATTTCCTATATATAATTCATTATTAATGTCATTTATTTTTATATAAAAAATATATTATAATAGAATTTATATAAAAAGTAACTTTATTGTAAAAAAACCAAAATAAATCTTTAGTAAAAGTATTGATTCCACTATTCTATCCATAAAAATAAAAACAATTAAAATATAAAGGATTTTTGTTAAATGATTTAAATATTTCTTAAAGCAAATAAATCGAATTGATTAAAGTATTTGCATTTAAATTATTTTAATAAAATTAATGTGCTATATACTAAATTATATTATAAATGTTTTATTTATTAACATTAGTTTCATTTATTATTTATTTTATCAAATTATAGTAATTATACTACATTTCTTGATTTTATTCCATTAAATATTTGCTAAATAAAAAATCTAAAATATTTTATTTATTGCCTAATGATTTTTATATTAAAACTAATGCATTTATTTGATTTATTTATAGAATTTTTTAAAGCTCTTTAACATATTCAATCTTTTTTAATTTTTTTTTTAAAAAATAAATAATTAGAAAACAATAGAAATTAATACTTATTTATCTAAAGGATATTTGTTTATCTCTTCAAATATTTTATATATATATTAACCATTTATTATTATTTAGTTTTTTTAATTGATTTTATTTATTTTTTAAAGTTTTTTATCTAAATAAAAATATTAAAATATATTATTTTGCATTAAATTCTTTTCTGATTATATTTATTAAATATTTAATATTAAAAAAAATTAATCAATTTTTTTTTAAAATAATATGAATAAATTTAATAAATAATATCAATATAA